AAGGTTGTAGCGTTATTACATGCATACATGTTATAGCGTTACTATATGCATAAACATTGTAGCATTGAACAATAATCTAAAGGGAAACTGACTATGAGGTCAAGAAAACTACAATTGAAATATAATTCTTGCTAAGGTACAATAGCCAACACAAACCCTGAACCTTTCAAAGTATACAGATATCCAAATTCTAAATTGTGAGTTTAATTCTTTCATTTGTTTGTTTGTTGTTTAACGCCACACTCAGCAATATTTCAGCTATATGACGGTGGTCTGTCAATAGACGAGTCGTGCCTAGACAGATCAGTGATAGACATCATGGGCATCAAGCTTCGCACTGGGGATACGATGACATGCATCAACCAAGTCAGCGAGTCTGACCATCCGATCCCGTTTCCTCGTACAAGCTTGGCTTCCCGAAGAACAAATCTATCTATCTATACAGATTTGAGTTCTTGCATAAAGTTATAACATTGTCTAATCAACTTTCTGATATTTAATAAGTTTCTTTAGTGGCAGTAGACACGAATGGTTTAGTAGTCTAAGGCTCCGCAATTAGTTGTATAGATAATCCTAGGTTCGAATTCCAGATGCACCCGATATTTGACTTTTCAGTACCAGAACTGTGCTTACGGGTTTCATAAATACATACTTCCCACATGAGGCTAAACCGTGTTGAAGTATCTAACATAAAGTTTATGGTGGAGTAAAAGCAAACAAATTTGGCATAAGAGGCTCAGATAATGTCAGCCATAGTCACAACTCATACTTGGTCGTTTAATTTACCTTTCATATGACGTCAGTGTAGTTTCGTTGCAAGCCTATCAGGTATACCCCAGGTATACATGATCATAACAGTAAAATATCCACTCCATTGCTTCCATGTACTGTTTCACACACCTCTCCTCATATACCTGTCGCAGGTATGGTGACCCTCGTATCCAAAGCACACATTCACCTTCATGTTCCATGCCACCACCATCTTTAATTACAACCAGTCAGAACAGTATCATCAGATATGTCAACATGTTATCAATGGAGTATGGCTGCAACAATTATCCTTTCTTTCAAAAACATAAGGTACGAACAAAGGAATAAATATGTATCTTCAAAGATATTTCAATGCCCAAATGAACACTTTATTCATAGGCAAGTGGGGCCAGGCCTGGCCCTTCATGGCCAATCCCCATCTAGCTGCAGTTGTCTTGCATTCTTGAGGGACAGCTAAGGCTATTCTATTGACAAAGACTTCCACAGTTCGCAGTCAACACCTCACCCCTGTCAATCCATCGAAGCTAATCTGTCCGGTGATAAAATGAGGTGAGCAGGAATAAGAATAGTTTACAGTGTATCAATAACAACGTGGATGGCCAAACAGACGGGACTGGCGTAACTCACTGTGATGGCGGAAACCAGACAGTGGGTGATTACAAGACTGTAGAAGTTCATTCTAAAACTACAGCCAATTATGTTAAGTGCGTATCGCTGGGGAGAGCGTTGACGTGACGAGCACTTTGTGTCAGACGAAGTGGGCAGTATCCTTCAAAGGCTCATTGGTACATGAAAGCGAATAGTTCAACGATTGATTGGACGTCTTGGCTTTGGCAACAGTATTGTACTTGCGTTTAATGCAGCAAACGTTTCAAAGAGAGAGTGAACTTGGTGACACGCCGTTGGAGGACGACATTATCCAGAGAGGTTTGTTTAGATCTTTCATGTGCTTCCATAAACGTCTGGGGTGGTTGTGATCCTAGTTGTCATGTTCAAGACCATGTGACCTTTAGCCGTGATAATGCTGGACTATTGCTAAAACCAAATTCACTCACTCACTGAACCATATAAGGCTTGTTGGATCCATGGAAAACCCATAAAGACTCCCGTGTTTTAACGTATATTATGTTAAATTGTCCTAACATACACTATATGTCGCCCTGATGACAGTGCAGCTATCAAGTGCATAACATCAAGGTTTCATTCCAAGATTCACTTTTCACGTTACCTCAAATGAACCAAGCACCAGCATATCTGTCTTCTCCGAGCTCCTTACTGAGAACCCTCCTGATGGAACTCTCGGATCACAAGACCGAGCTTTATTATTAGATTAAAATAAACATGCAGCACAGAGGGTTTGGGTGATTCTGGCACAGGCTGGTTAGGCTCATCATCAACCCCCTACACGCAGCCCAAACAGCTCCCAGGAAGCACTGCCTTGTCAAACCCACCCAGAACTTTCCGGAGAACGTGAAGACTCCCCAACACTGCAGCCTTCTGCATTACCCAAATTGTCAGAAGGACTGTATTCCTGGCAGCAAACCCGGGTACTCGCCCAATGTCATTCAACAGATTGTTAGGTACCAAACCTAAGCCACCGAGAACAATGGGGAGTCGGACAACTTGGTACTTGGGATGCAAGAGTGACATTTCGAAAGGACCCGTGAAGATCCGGGGTAGAATAGGTCTTCAGCAACCGATGTTTGCCGTGAAAGGCGACTATGTTTGACGTGAAAGGCGACTAACGGGATGGGTGGTCAGGCTCGCTGACTTGGTTGATACATGTCATCGATCCCAATTGCGTGGATCGATGCTCATGATATTAATCACTGGATTGACTGTTCCACACTCGATTATATTCAGACCGCCGTCATATAGCTGGAATATTGCTGAGTGCGGCGTTAAACAACAAACCAACCAAACATTTGGAAAGCGATGTCAGCATATTTGCCATGTTTTTCCTGAATCTTGTCAATCACATTAGTATCAACAGGAATAGAAAATTCAATGATATAAATGATTTCATTGGATTTATCAAAAAGGACAAGATCAAGTTTATTGGCCTTGATAGATCTGAGGCTGTATACGGGCCTATTCCAAAGAATTTTGTATTTATCATTTTCCAGGACGCCCTCTACATATTCTGGGTCGTACCATGGATGGACGTCTGTGGCAAATTTTTAACAAAAAGATCGAGCCACTCCATCATGTCGCTTTAGATTCTGTGTTTGTGCCAAAGCTTGGCATCAACTGACAATGTGTTAGACAGTCTCATTAAATTCATTGCAGTATGTACATTTTCTATTTACATTTTAATGCAAAATCACACACTGACGGTTTCGAGTGGGGACTGGAAGGCCTTCCTGTTTCACCTTTCAGACCAGACGACTTCATCCACGCGAAGACCTCGTCAGAGCTGATTATATATGGCATTTCTCTTGGCTGACATTCAAGGTTGTTATTATTATCATTATGTGTGAGTGAGTGAGTGACTGTGGTTTTACGCCGCTTTTAGCAATACCAGCAAGATCGAGGCGGGGGACACCAGAAATGGGCTTAACACATTGTACCCATGTCGGGAATCGAACCCGGATCTTCGGCGTGACGAGCGAACGCTTTAACCACTAGGCTACCCGACCGCCCCTTTTATTATGAATTGACAAAGCCAGACAAATCACAAGGTTATGCACCTAACAGTTATGCGATATGCACGTTACAAGGTCTCTCATAATTGCTGATTTGTATCAGTTCAAATACATCTACACCTGCCACATTTGCCCCCTGCCCATCTACTGCTGACACACTTATTTGGCAACTAATCAACTTATTCTACCTCATTTTGAATTCAAGTACTGCTGATTTTACAAGTCATACTGCTTTTGGGACTGTTACTTTTATAAGCCCAACTTGTTGCTTTAAATATTAATACTACTTCTATAACTTAAACATTAATACAGTACCTACTTCTATAACGTATGATTTTATTCTCTGACATGGTCATATGTTTATAGATTTGGACTAATCCATTGTCTATATATTTCATAAAGGCGAGACTAAACGTTTTCATAATCACAAGAAATCGTAAGAAAAGCAAAATCCGTTGTGCGATTCCGAATCCCTATCAAATAGTGATGATACCAGATTTTCCTGAAAAGGTTAGCGTATCCAGTTCCACCGGTGGCGCCGTCACAAACACATACAAAGGCAAGTCAGTTGTTTACCTGAGCAAACATGAGAACATAAGTCCTCCAGATAAAGTCTACCGTAAAACTTCACTGAGGTCCCGAATGGTGTAATCCTTTAACCCGTAAGTAACAGTCGTAAGATGCTCTTTGAAATCTTAAACTTGTTTTGATAGGGTTCTGTTTAGCTTATTGACCAGGAGCATATTGACCAGTTATAGAATATGAAGCTTTCTTTTGCTTCAATAACGTTGTAGCTTGGGTATTACGTTACTACAAAGCCGTACATGTAAAGGGTTCTTTATCATTAGACATATCGTGATATTCATGCAACTTTGTTTGTTTGTCTTTGAACGCCGAACTCAGCAATATTTCAACTATTAAGGCGGTCTGTAAAAAATCGAATCCAGTGATTGACATCATGCGCATCGTTCTGCGCAATTGGGATACGATGACATGCATCAACCAACTCAGCGAGCCTCACCATGTAATAGTTACCTTCATGTTTTTATTTTCAGTGGTTGTTATAATTATAATTGGTCTTCAGCAACCCATGCTGGCGTAAGTGGCGACTAAAGGGATCGGGTGGTCAGGCTCGCTGACTTGGTTGATGCATGTCATCGATCCCAATTGCGTGGATCGATGTTCATGATGTCAATCACTAGGTTGTCTGGTCCAGACTCGATTATGTACAGACCGCCGTCATATTGCTGGAATATTGCTGAGCTTGGCGTAAACAACAGAGATGATAGATCTGGTAATGTAAATTTACCTCAAAAGCGATGTGGTGTTGTCAGCAACAAATATAAGATAAATGAAAACCGTGTCTTCAATGTCTTTGCTGTTAAATGAAAATAACCGTTATGTATTCCACAAATGCTCTTTAATATTGATGCATCACTATAAGTGATAAATGCGCACACGTAGTACCATATAACATGTCGTTACTGACGTCTGATCTTGCCAGAAATGTCCTTCTTCAGTGCCCGTGTTTCCTGAAAGGGTGTCTTGATAAGGATGTGGGAAAGTCTTCTGTTACTTCTAATGTCAAGCCTTGTCACCAGGCTGTGCTCCCTCAACGACCTGAAAATAATCACACTAAAAATTGAAAGTTTTGATTATAAAATGGGACTGAAAAGTATAAATAGAACGAAAGAGGTTCATACGCTTGAAATATAGACCTAATATTAGAAGCTGAAGACGGATTGCTGAAGTAGGCGCTCTACATATATATATTGGTCCGAACGGCAACGTAAGATGCCACTTCTTCACTCGTTGATGTTCCCGGAGAAGCACACCTGGGTCCATAGACAGAAAGCCTGAGTTGATTGAAACCACAGATGAATTGCAGGTCGCAGTACTCTTAAATGGTTAAATGTTTTGTCCGTTTTCTTTCGTTTGTTGGTTTATGTGTTCGCCTTGTGACACCAATAGTGCTTACCATGAACACTTTGAACAAGAACAGATGTTATTGTCAATGCTTTTACAACTCTCAAAATACATGTACATGTTAAAACTTTACACGGAAACACCTGTTGTTGCAAAGATGCGGGGGTATCAATACTTCTTGTGAGTGGTTCAATTTGTACTTGGACACGGTATTAAAGCTGCTCTGGAAATGTTTGTCATTGATGTAAACGAAATTCTGGAAATCAGTTTTCTCAGTGACACTTTCCACTGATCACTTGGAATTATTTCTATCAAAACAAGATTGATGTGTTTGAGTTGAGAAGTAGATTCATTGTGTGCGTCAAGTGAATTTTAAATGAACACAAGGGAGAGTTGCAGAGTTGTTACTCTATAACTGTCCATGGGTACAATATATCAAGCCCATTTCTGGTGTCCCCCGCTGTGATATTGCTTGAATATTGCTAAAAGCGGCGTAAAACCATACTCACTCACTCACTATAACTGTCCAAGCACAACAGAAGATGTTCCTTCCCAAATGATTGGGAGTTTTGATTCAGCTGTTTTTCATCCCACTACCGATGACTTCACAATAGTAATAAAATGACAATCAGACATGTGTATAAATGGTAAAAAAGCATTCCATACTTTTGATACCAATTTCCATCTAAAGGTATAGGGGACCAAATGTCGAATTTATTATTATTTGGTGAATTACACAGTGCTGTTGCATCTACTACATGTTCAGTGTTATGTCAAAGCTCTACTGATGATGCATCTGCTCCTGCTACCTTTAACATCATTCTGTTATTGCTTCTTCCTTTGAATACAGATAGAAGATTCCTACATTCCTACCAAAACATGATTAGTAAAGAAAAATAGAAACCGGGTCGTTGACGCACTTCGTATGACCGCACACTATGGCGTCAGATGTACTTCTTCAGACATCAGTTTTTCTGAAGAAGCACAAATGGGTCCACAGAGATTCATATGCCCGAAATAGTGTGATTGTTTTTCTTTGAACACCGAAAAAGGATAATGTACCAGATGTTGTTGTCGATGCTTTACAACTACACACATGACAAGATGCGTTTCACCTATGTGCACCTACAATTGTGAAATACAGCAATATGCACCATATACAATGGCTTCTGTCGTTAGGTTCATACTTTGAAAACATTGTTAAACCCACGCTGGAAAGAGTATTTGAATAACATACGCAAGTGACACTATCCCGATTTAGCTATTGATCAGCAGGCCCATTTATTCACTTGGAAATATTTGTTTTTCAAAATAGCTTTATCAACACTCTAACAAGAGAGTGGGGCGCAGTTTATCAAAGCCTTGCCAAAAGGCATTGCATGTCATTAAATATTGGAAATCTATTCCAGAGATTGTATTATCTATTTTAAAATGCACTGTTCCTTCCAAAATGGAAGATGAGATGATCCTTTTAAAAACCTAACTTCATAACCAATGCCAAAATAGTTTGATATCAAGACGACCACCATGTATTTTCAACAGCATACCAGTAAAATATGCACTCAATTGTTTCAATGTGTTGTTTTACAAAGCTCTTCCATCTACCGAGGGTTTGGTGATCTTCTCATGATACACCCAACTACCATCCAACTACCTTCTGACCGCGTTCCATGTTAAAAACACTACAATGTCTAAACAGTGCCAAAGTCTATTAAAAATATAATCAGTTGAGTCTGGTTGTGACAAGTTAAGTTTTCAATAAGCGAAGGGGTGAACAACGGAAGTAGCTATATAGAAAACTAAAGTCCCGGTGTCCATGGAAAGTTTTTTTCAAGGGCAAGTGGGGTCAGGTCTGGGTTCTTGTGGCCAATCACCTTTTGACAAAGGCTTCCACAGCCCACAGTCAACACGTCGTCCCCGTCAATCCATCTCAGCTCATCTATAAGGAAATACAATGGTGTGAACAGGAATAAGAGCAGCATGCAGTATATCAACATCAACATGGATGTCATTGACCAAACAGGCATCGACAGAAGGGGAGCCAGTGTGATGACTGGAGCCAGACTGTGGATGAAACAGTGTATCAACATCAACTTGGATGTCAATGACTAAACAGAGGGGTTGACACCGGCGGGACCCGTTGTGATGACTGGAGTCGGACTGTGGATGAAACAGTGTATTAACATCAACATTGATGTCAATGACTAAACAAAGGGGTTGACACCGTCGGGACTCGTTGTGATGACTGGAGTCGGACGGTGGATGAAACAGTGTATCAACATCAACATTGATGTCAATGACTAAACAAAGGGGTTGACACCGACGGGACCCGTTGTGATGACTAGAGTCGGACGGTGGATGAAACATTGTATCAGCATCAACATTGATGTCAATGACTAAACAGAGGGGTTGAAACCGGCGGGACTCGTTGTGATGACTGGAGTCGGACGGTGGATGAAACAGTGTATCAACATCAACGTTGATGTCAATGACTAAACAAAGGGGTTGACACCGACGGGACTCGTTGTGATGACTGGAGTCGGACGGTGGATGAAACAGTGTATCAACATCAACGTTGATGTCAATGACTAAACAGAGGGGTTGACACCGGCGGGACTCGTTGTGATGACTGGAGCCAGACAGTGGATGAAAAAGTGTATCAACTTCAACGTGGATGTCCTTGACCAAAAAGAGGCGTGGACTGGCGTAACTCAGTGTGGTGACGGTTGATGATTACAAGACTGTAGAGGTTCATTCGAAAACTACAGCCAATAATGCTAAGAGCGTGATGTGCACTTTGTGTCAAACGAAATAGGATGTCTTCTTCGGAAAGTCATTGTTGCATGAAAGCGAATATTCAACGATTGATTGAAATGGTGCCATCTGTGTCAACAGAGATAAGTTTACAAATCGAACAACTTTAATTAAGGCAAATGATTCAGGGTGAACATTGTGATGATACACTGTCGATAGTATACAAACTAAACCAGACAGGTTATACATTTAGAAATTCCAGGTCGTCGTCTACATGAGGTTGTGACTTTTGGGTAGCCTGGTCGCTAAAGCTTTTGGTCGTGATGAGGGAAATATATAGAAAAGTATCTCTCCTATATACAATGCTTCAAATTCAAACAGGCACTTAGTAGATTTAGATTTGGAAGTATTAATTTATACATAGAGACGGACAGGTGGGAAAGGGCAGGAAGAAAAGAGCGACTTTGTCGTTCCTGTCATTCTACGGCAGATATCTATATGGTGTGGAAGATGAAAAACATTTTCTCTTTGTTTGTCCAATGTATAACAGTTACAGATCTACAGTCGTCTAATGTGGATTATGTATTTATACTATTCCCGTGTTATGGGTTGTCGGACTCCAGAGAAACATTCGTGGCTTTCTCTTTAATCACATGAACAGCTTTAAAACATCTCATTCACTCATAAAAGACAATTTTCTCTTGAAAACAAGCCATCATCTGAGTATTTACAATGTCTTTGTGATGCTTCCCCCCTCCCCCCGAGTAATCGCGATACACAAGCCGTCCGAATGTATCATGTCCGAAAACCTTTGATCCGAAGATATATTATTATTAAAACATGTATTCTAGGGAAGAGGAAGCTTAGATAGTAGGAGCTTTTTCCATATTTCTGTTTTATCCTAAGGAAGAATTGGATAGATACTAGTAAACGTTCATATTTATGAATGTTGTTTTAAACACATTATATCACTTTAAGCCACTTGAATTTGAAAATGTATCCCTTCATCTAAACATTATGTAATGTAATAATTCGGGACAGGTAACTGCAGAAATGTAGCAGTATATTGTAAACATTTGCATGTGTAAAGGCAATTACGATAATGTAATATTATTGATATTTTAAACTGAGAAGTATGGGCCGTGAGGCCTACATTCTGAATAAATTTATCGTATATGCCCTATTGACACCTGGCACAATCGATGCATTCAAAACTATAAAGACACCGGGTGTTCACGAAAGAGTGAGATGTTCTTGCAGATGCTGCTTTGCGTGAACTATATACATGTATGTATAACAAATTCGACACCATGTGTTCGCGACGTTGACATTCACGTCCTTCATTGCAGACACCTAAGTTGAGTGATGTGTGCATAATCATGACACAGTGACTTTAATGACACAAAGTGGATGAATGTGTCCTTCCTTACAAGGATCTCTTATCGTGAGTGATACATGCCATGACGCCAAGTGTCTGACAGCTTGGAACCTATAACCATGCATGCCAGCGACCATTCTGCTAGAATTCAGCCACGTGTCCTAACAACAGCCGCTTCTCGCAGACGCAGCAACTATAACAAGACGACTTTATGGAAAATAAAAGTCACTGAAACCGTTAAATTGAAAGGAAAATGTATTCGAAGCCGGAATGAAATTGCATCTGATCTCAACGCCCCGTAACACGTTTAACAACTTGTCTTGCATTTCAAAGGCATTAAATCTGTCGCTTCTCCTGTAACACTTAATTTGCTTCCCAGAACCGCTGACACAAATTACACGTTGTTATTTGCGAAACAAATCCTGTCAATTTCCCACACTTAAGTTCAGCTCGTGTTAAAGACATCATCCGTCCTAACTTGCCTATTCCAATCTGGCTTTCGTTATCGATCCAATTCCGCTAAGCTAAAATAACGTTCGCTCCTGTCTACTGAATGGTATGG